CAATTCTTCTATCCTCTCTAGTCACTGTCCAACTCTCTGATGCATAGCAAGTGATTGCAAAGACCATGGTCTGTATCAGACGCACCTTAGTCTCCAGAGAGACACCATTGCTCTTCAGTACTTTGGAGAGGTCCCTAACAGCAGACCTTTCCATCACAGTACGTCTTTTAATTTCCTGGCTGCTGGTGCCAAGACTGTTGACTGTGGAGCCAAGCAAACTAAAGTTGTTAACAATCACTATCTCGTCACGATCCATCTTGGTGCTGCCATTTGGCCTAGTGGTGAGGATCTTTTTCTTCTTGATATTGAATCTCAATTCCTATGGAGGGCTGCAGTTCCTTGATCTTCTGCAGCAAGTGCCTCAAGTCCTCCTCAGTTTCAACAGGCAGGGTTGTGTCATCTGCATAACCCAGATTGTTGATGAATCTTCCTCCAATCCTGATGCCTCCTGGATAATCTGTTCTGCATATAGGTTGAAAAGGTGTGGAGATAGGAGACATCCCTGGCATACGCCCTTCCCAATTTTGAACCATGCAGTGTTTTCCTTGCTCTGTTCTGATGACTGCCTCCTGGTCCAAGTACAGGATTTGCATTAGCATGATCAAGCGTTCTGGGATTCCCATTCATCTCAGAGTTGGCCATAATTTGTTATGATCCACACAGTCAAACGCCTTTGTGTAATCAATGAAACATAGATAAGACACTCCTCTGGTACTCCCTGCTTTCAGCCAAAATCCATCTAACATTAGCTACAACATCCCTAGTACCATGACACCTTCGAAACCCAGCCTGGACTTCTGGTAGTTCTCTGCTGATGTGCTGTTCCAGTCATTTTTGGATAATCTTCAGCAGAATCTTGCTTGCATGTGATATCAATGATATTGTTAAATAATTTCCACATTCTGCTGGGTCACCTTTCTTTGGAATGGGAACAAATATAGGTCTCTTCCAGTCAGTTGGCCCAGTGGTTGTCCTCCAGATCTAGGGCAGCATCTGTTAGCTGAAATATGTCAATTGGTATACCACCAATTCCTGGAACCTTATTTTTTGCCAATTCCTTCAAAGAAGCTTCTTCCTTCGTCACCATAGGCTCTAGCTCATATGTTGTTTCATGAAATTCTTCTGTGTCCACCAATTCCTTTCGGTATAGTGACTGTATATTTATGCAAGTTAAAATAAAAATCTTTACTTCAACTTTGTTACAGGAGGCTTCAGATAATTGTTACTCAGACCCATTACTGTCGATTCGTAATCATTTCATTTCTGGCCTTTCAGAGAGTTGGCGGCTGCTGGTAAGTGCCTTTCGATCACGACTCACAGCAGCCGTGTGAACAACTGATCTGAACCCTTTCCTATTCCGTGCCATGTGCACAGTCTCTGACATTTGAGTCCACTGTTAGAGTCACTGTGTCACTCTGTCTTAATGAGAATCTTCCTGTCCTTCACTGATCCTCCTTCACATTTCCCAACAGTATGTCTTTTTCCAAGGACTAGTCCGTATTAACAGCATATCCAAAATACGTAAGCGGAAGTTTCACCACCATTGCCTCTAAGCAGCACCTTGGTTGCACTTCCTCCAACGCATTTGTTTGTTCTTTTAGCAATCTGTGGGCTATTTGGTACTCTTTGTCAACACCACAATTGAAAGGCATCAATTCTACTACCATCCTTAGTCAGTATCTAACTTTCAGGTGCATAGATTCTCACCACTGGGCCAATTGGCAGCATTATGATAGATGGTAAAGAGTTTGATTTTGTTAACAGCTTCAGTTTGCTTGGCTCCACAATCAACACTCTTCGTACCAGCAGCCAGGAAATCAGGACACAAATTGCATTGGGGAAGTCAGCTGTCAGGGACCTCACCAGAGTACTGAAGAGAAAAGATGTCAGTCTGGATACTAAGGTGCACCTGGTCCAGGCAATAGTCTTTGTATTTGCTTGATATGTGTCAGAAAGCTGGACAATGACTACGGATGATAGAAAGATAATTGATTACTTTGAGCTCATGCTGGAGAAGAGTGTTGAATGGACTCCATGGACTGCCAGGAGAATAAACAGGTTCATCCTAGAGAGGGTGAAGCAAGGCTGCTCCTTGGAGGCAAGGATCCTGAGGCTTCATCTGACATACTCTGGTCATGTTACAAGATGGGATCAGTCCTTGGAGAGGGACATCATGCTTGGAAGGATGGAGGGACAGAGAAAGAGGAAGACCATAGATGAGATGGATTGACTCAGAGACTGAGGTAATGAGGGTACTTGTGTTAGAGACAGTAAAGTTGGCACAGGATAGAGCAGGTTTCAGGGCTATTGTACATAGGGTCGCTATGAGTCGCAAGTGACTTGACAGCACATAACAACAACAACAGTAACTGAAAACATGGCTTGGATCAGGCACACCTCAGACTTTAAATTGGCATCCTTGCTCTTTAGCACTTGGGAGAGGTCCTTAACAGTAGATATTTTTCCTCAACAAAACATATCTTTTTATTTTTACATTTTTTTGACTGCTGGTACCAAGGGTGTTGAATGTAGATCTGAGTAAGATTAAATTGTTGATAACCTCTATCTTTTCTCCATTTTTCATGATATTGTCTATTTTCCCAGTGGTGAGAATATTTCTTTTCTGCAGAAAGTGTTTCAAATCTTCTTCACTTTCACAAGCAAAGTTGTGTCTTCTGTATAACACAAATTTTTGATTAGTGTTCCTCCAATCCTGATGTCACATTCTTTTTCATGTAGTCCAGATTCTCAAATTATTTTCTCACCATACAGATTCAGGAGGTATGGAGAAAGGATAAAGTCCTGATGCACATCTTTCTCCATTTTAAATCATGCACTATTCCTTTGCTCTGTTCGCACAACAGCCTCTTGTTCTAGGTATAGGTTTCACATGAGCACAATTAAGTGTTCTGGGATTCCCATTCTTCCAATATCAGCCATAATTTGTTGCGGACCACACAGTTAAATGCTTCTTCATAGTCATTCAGCTTTATGGAATGTTTTACAACACTCCTTACCAGCCACAAACCATCCTTCAGCTTTATCAGTCTTTGTGCTGTACAAATTGGTTCTGTATCTTGTACTGTAGATGTGAGCTCTAACTTTCTTCTAGCAGATAGTCTCCTTTGGGGTAACACCAGATTCCCCTCACTTTGGTTTTTCATGGTGCATTTTTACCTCATTTTTCTAAAACTTCATCTCTAATGAGGCCTCATACTAATGTAAAAACTGAAGTACTTAGGACAGTCAGTATAGAAAGAAAATACTTACAGAAAGAAATTTTACTTTTACAACATTTGCAAATGTTTCTAAACATTTCTACCAAAATATGTATGGGTAGATATGTAGGTCAAAGTAAGAAAATCAAGATAATTATATTTTAATATGAGCCAAAGGTGATGGCTTCTCTGTTAAGCATATTGCAAGTACAGTCACTCACTAGATTATGGACGGGATCCATTCTTAAGTGTGCTTTTGATTCCAATTTGTAAGTAAATTGAAGTAGGTATAACTAGTTCTTATTTAACCCTACTGTAGGGCAAAAAGTTCTATTGGCTTAGTCATTTTAGGTGTTGTACTACTAATGGAAAGGTTGGTGGTCTGAACCTACTAGCTCCTCAGAGACTAAGACAAAGCTGTCTCTCTGCTTCTGAAAACCTGATAGAGAGCTTTGGTGGCTTTTTGTTGTTAGGTGCCATCGAGTCAAGTATGACTCATAGTGACCCTATGAACAAGTGATCTGAACCCTGTTCTATCATGGGCCATCCTCAGCTTCTCTGACACACTTGAGCCCATTCATTGCTGCAGTCACTGTGTCAATTCACCTCAACAGGGTCTTCTTCTCCTTCACTGACTCCATCTTTCCAAGCATGATGTTGCTCTCCAAGGAATAGCCTCTCCTAGCAACATTGCTGACACAAAAATACACGTTTTAAAGTCACTAGCTGCTCTTTGGAATAAAGATGGCAATCTCCTCCCATGCAGTTTACTGCCTCTGAAAACCAGCTCACGGGTTCTCAACAACAACAAAACCTGATAGGGCAGTTAGCGGTTCCACCTGTCCTCTGGGGTTGCTGTGGGAATTGACATTGAAGTAGTTTGGTTCTTTTTTTTTTTTAAAAAAAAAATTGTTTTTACTAAGGAAAAGCCTGATGCCTTTTGAATTGTTTAGATGAAAAATTTGTGATTATTGTCTGGGTCCTTCATTTCAAAGTGAGGGCAAATTTACCTAACCCTTAAGAAGATGGAATATGAGGTGTTCACAAGTTGGGCATTCATAACCTGAGGACTCGCAGTACAGCTGGGATATCAATACATGTTCTGTATAAAACCACCTGGACAACTTCACCTTTTTTTTCTCTCTCTCTCTCTCTGAACTTCCCATGGCAGTTGTCACTTGCTCTTATCCTCTCAGGTGACAAGCAGTAAATAATTACTTTCTGTGGACCAATAAAAGCACCTAGAAATGGGAAAATTGTTAGAATAGAGGAAAAGAAAACCAACACCGTAAATTGCTTATTAACAGATTAGCATCCTCATGAATAATTAGCTTTTCCACATGCTCTGGAAATTTCCACAAACACCTAAGGAATATTTAAGTAACCCTAATTTTGCTCAAGAAAAGGGAATTTTAAGATTATTCTTCAAGTTTGTTTCACTTTTCAGCTACATAGCTGGTCGGTTAGTATAACTATAACTTAACATGGTTTTCATAACTGCCAGGAAAAATAGAGAGAAAGCCAAATGTGTATCTGTTGAGGACAAATTGTCCATATAGAGTGTTATCAGCTGTTTGGGATAGAGCTGATAAAATTATCTTCAGCTCAGCATACGTGAGGTCTGATTACGAAAGCAGCCCTCGACTCACACACCTAAATTTCATTTAAGGGTTCTTCCTGATTTTTAGGAAGACCGTTATGGGGAGATGTGTTCCTTGCTAGTTCTTTCAAGTCATGGCCCTCTCCAGCAATTTCTTCTTTTGTCTTGGCTTCCTCGCCTGGCTGTCTTTTCCTGTTGGCACTGGTTCTCAGGCTTCCAAGGATAAAGCTCAGATTGCAGCCCGTGCTGAGTTGGAACCTGAGGCTGAGCCTTGGTCTGTGCTGCAACCTCTAGATGGAAGCGACAGATCTGGCCTCCTCCGCCCACTCTTCAAGGTTCTGTCTGATGAACGAGGTGGGGCCCCCAGGCTGCAGCCAAACTCCAGAGCTTTACGCTACATGAAGAGGCTGTATAAGGCATATGCTACCAAGGAGGGGATCCCCAAGTCCAACAGAAGTCACCTCTACAACACTGTTCGGCTCTTCACACCCTGTGCTCAACACAAGCAAACTCCTGGGAACCAGGAGACAGGTGTGTAGGAGCGGATTGGTTAACTGGGTAGAGGGAACAGGATAGACGTTTGGGCATTTCAACTACAGAAGAGCTTTGTCCTTGAAACACGTTCTAATTTACATGTTACCAAGTATCCAAATTCAAACAAGTCTGTGCTTCACCTAATAGTTTCTTCCTGATGTCCTCACAGGTTAAGGTAAGCCAACATAGTGGATTTTTAGAATTAGTAGAGACGTAATGGCTCTAAAGAGTGAGAGAAGTGTTGTTTGAGAGGTATAGCATGTTTTCCAAAGTCAAAACCAAGAGTATTTTGACTAGTACTTTCTTGTTCTTTCCATTCTACCAAGCTGCTGACCTGAAAACTTGACTACATTTTCTTTGATTTGCAATTTTCTGTGAAATGATAATTTACATTTTTCAGAACCCCACCCCCACCCCCACCCTCACCTGGCAAAAAATATTTGGGATAGTAGGTCTTTTTAAGAAAAAAGTGGTCAGCAATTTAACTCAGCGGCTTGGGAAATGTGAGAGTGTGTGTGATGGAGAGATGCAGCGCTTTTCAAAAATTGCCCACTGGTTCGTGACTTAGAGGGCCTGTTCCAACCCAGCAGGCCAGCACTGGCCTCTCACTGTGGGTTTGCGTGAAGTCCTGTTGTATCACAGTGATTTCTGAGCCTCTCCCACTTTGGATTCAATGACAAATGTTTAATAAAGTGTTCTTTTACTTTGTCCACCAGGGCTTAGAAATGTCTTCTTAGCAAGCCCCCAATACTTTTCCCTCTGGAGACGATCCAAGAGGAAAGTGCTACTTTACTTAGTAGCTTCCTTTTTGTTGGGAGCCTATTAAGCCTCTGAAAGCCCACCTTTTACATTCACTACCAAAATGACTTTGCCTTTCTGGTGATAATTATGGTTATTGGAAGTTTATAGTGTTTATTATCTTCACCTTTTGTATAACTTCCCCTTTTTGAGGCTTGAGGAAAGTGGTGTGGGAACTGGAGAGACAGAGAAGGGAGCATATTAAGTTTTGATTCCTTGATTTGATTTTCTCTTCAGTCTTGTCCAAACACTACTGGTGGGTTTTTTCCCCTGTAGGAATCCTTCCATCGGTGGACCTGCTGTTTAACCTGGATAGTGTTACTGTTCTTGAACACTTACTCAAGTCAGTCTTGCTGTACCCTTTCAACAACTCAGTCTCTTTCCCCTCTGCTGTCAAGTGTGGGTTCAACCTGGTGATCACAGAACCATCATCTTCCAGCAAGACGGCTCCGGGAGCTCCTTCCTCGTTTACCTTTAACTCACAGTTTGACTTTAGAAAGAAACAGAAGTGGATTGAGATTGATGTGACTCCCCTCCTTCAGCCCCTCGTGGCCTCCAACAAACGAAGTGTCCATCTGTCTATTGACTTTAGATGTGAGAATGACCAGGGGCAGCAGCGTTCCAGGCCGAGGAGTCCGTGGAACACGTCTCTCCCCGTGCCCCCCTCCCTGCTTCTGTACCTCAACGACACGAGCACCCAGGCCTATCACAGGTGGGACTCTCTGCGCGCACTCAGGGGCCCCGAGCGGAGCAGAGGCCTGGCCGAGTGTGGACGAGCCGCCCGGGCCCGGAGAGGCAGGGAGCCGGCTGCTCCGAGGGTGAAGGAACCCGCGGCGCCGGCCTCCTTCAATCTGAGCGAGTACTTCAAGCAGTTTCTCTTTCCCCAGAATGAGTGTGAGCTCCATGATTTTAGACTTAGCTTCAGTCAGCTCAAGTGGGACCACTGGATCGTGGCCCCCCACCGCTACAACCCTCGTTACTGCAAAGGGGAATGTCCAAGGGCGGTGGGCCACAGGTACGGCTCCCCGGTTCACACCACCGTGCAGAACATCATCTACGAGAAGCTGGACCCCTCGGTGCCCAGGCCGTCGTGCGTCCCTGCGAAATACAGCCCCTTGAGTGTTCTGACCATTGAGTCTGATGGCTCCATTGCTTATAAAGAATATGAAGACATGATAGCCACTCAGTGTACCTGTCGTTAGCCCGAGGCCTCTGAACTGCCACTGTGAACCTCCTTGGGCTAAGTGAAGGCTCTGTCGTGTCAGATCTAGAAATCTAGTGCAGTGCAGTACTTCGGAAGGCAGAGCCCCTGGAGATGAGCACACTCCTGGGTCCCTTTTGTAAAAGACAGCTTCTGTTGTTTTTACTAAGCTTCTTTTTATTTCCAAAGTTAAATAAGGGGTAATTCTTGAAAGAGCTTTGAAAGTATCCCCCTTCGTCTTGGGTAAACTTTTCTTTTCATTGGATCTTATTTTTGATGTAAGACTTAAAAAAAAAAAATTAGTTTAACTCCTGGGTAGAATTTCAGCTGTAAGTGGACAAGTCCCTGTGCTGTGTTCTTATAAATTAAAGAATAAATTCCTGTCAGCTGCATAAGTCTTTTGTGTGAATGAATCTTTTATGAATGATCGTTTTAATGACCTTTTAAAAGGATTATCTACAAAGGGGAAAGAGTGCAAAGGCTAGACTTTGTAAACCTTTGATCCCTTTAGAAGTGTAAGAGATTCTACCTTCTCTACATAATTCCTTGTTAGGGCTAAAGATTAAGCAACATATTCCATTTCTATTGCCTTAACGTGATTGACACTCACTATGTGAATTCAGCACATTAGCTTGTTTATACGAATCAATTTATTCACATTTTGATTTGGCCCATTTAATTAGATTTAAAAAATCTTCAGTATTTAATATAGCCTTTCCTTTGTATGTTAAAACCTCTTATAGAAGTCAAAGAAAAATATTTTCTGCCAGTTTTATCCCCCTCCCCCAATTTTTTCAGTTGCATTTTTGAGACCACATAAACTAAGGTAACAGTGGTTGCTTGGTGTGGAGTGAGAGGAGTCCTCTGTCTCTGCCTCCTTGCAGGTGGTTTTAAAACTTCTCAAACTACCAGTGTATGGAGTATCCTGCTGAACAGCCATTATCTACATATGAGGGCTTTTGTACAGATTTTAAAAATGTTTCCTATCCTGATGAGGGGGCTCTAGTGGCTGAGTTCAAGGCCACCAGCTGCTCTGTGGGAGAGGACCGGCAATCTCCTCCTGTGTGATTTACTGCCTCTGAAAACCCACTGGAGGGCCAACTATGAGCTGGTTGTCTTTCTGGTAGTTTCAATGTGCCAGTGGCTCCTCTGGAGAATGAGAGGCAATCTCCTAATCTCCTGTGTTATTTACAGCAAGGAGTCTGTACTGACTCAGCTGAGTGCTTATCCTGAGTATTGGGAGTATGTTGTTGTTATGTGCCATAGAGTCGCTTGCGACTCATAGCGACCCTACATACAACAGCTCTAAACTCTGCTCTGTCCTGTGCCAATCTCACTGTCTCTGACTCACTCATCCTGATTGCCCCAGTCACAAAATCAATCCATCTCCCAGAGGGCCTTCCCCTCCTGAACCTGCCCTCCACACTCACAAACATGATGTCTTTCTCCAAGGACCGATCTCTCCTTACAACATGACCAAAGTATGTCAGACGAAGTCTCAGAATCCTTGCCTCCAAGGAGCAGCCCGGTTTAACCCTCTCCAGGGTGTATCTGTTTTCTTAGTAGTCCATGACACCGCCAGCACTCTTCTCCAACACTAAAGCTCAAAGGCATCAATTCTCCTTCTGTCCTCCCTGATCATTGTCCAGCTCTCTGACGCATAACAAGTGATTGCAAAGACCATAGCCTGTACCAGATGCACCTTAGTCTCCAGAGACACACCATTGCTCTTGATTAGAGAGGTCCCTAACAGCAGACTTTCCCATCGCAATACGTCTTTTAATTTCCTGGCTGCTGGTGCCAAGAGTGTTGATTGTGGAGCCAAGCAAACTAAAGCTTTGAACAATCTCAATCTCTTCACCATACATCCTGATGCTGCCAATTGGCCCAGTGGTGAGAATCTTTGTCTTCTTGACATTGAGCCTCAATCCATAATGGAGGCTGCAGTCCTTGACCCTCAACAGCAAGCGCTTCAGGTCCTCCTCAGTTTCAGCAAGCAGGGTTGTGTCATCTGCATAACGCAGATTGTTGACAGATCTTCCACCAATCCTGATGCCACATTTCTCCTCATAGAACCCAGCCTCCTGGATGATCTGTTCTGCATACAGGTTGAAAAGGTATGGAGACAGGACACATCCCTGGCATATACCCTTCCCAATTTTGAATCATTCAGTGTTTCCTTGCTCTGTTCTGACAACTGCCTCTTGGTCCAAGTATAAGTTTTGCATTAGCATGATCAAGTGTTCTGGGATTCCCATTTTTCTCAGAGTCAACCACAGTTTGTTAAGGTCCACACAGTCAAACGCCTTTGCATAATCAGTGAAGCACAGATAGACATTCCTCTGGTACTCCCTGCTTTCAGCCAATATCCATCTGACATTAGCTACAATATCCCTAGTACCACAACCCCTTCTAAACCCAGCCTGGACTTCTGGCAGTTCTCCGTTGATGTGCTGTTTCAGTCGTTTTTGGATAATCTTCAGCAGAATCTTGCTTGCATGTGAAATCAACGATATTGTTCTATAGTTTCCACACTCTGTTGGGTCACCTTTCTTTGGAATGGGAACAAATATAGGTCTCTTCCAGGCAGTTGGCCAAGTGGTTGTTCTCCAGATTTCTTGACACAACTTGGTGAGCATGCCCAGGGCAGCATCTGTTAGCTGAAATATGTCAATTGGTATACCATCTATTCCTGGGCCTTATTTTTTGGTATTTCCTTCAAAGCAGCTTGAACTTCTTCCTTCATCACCATAGGCTCTTGCTCATATGTTGTTTCATTAAATTCTTCTGTGTCTGCCAATTCCTTTCTATACAATGACTCAGCATATTCTTTCCATTTTTTTTTTTTTTTGCTACCTCCTGGATCATTTAATATTCTGCCTAAAGCATCCGTGATTATAGCAACTTGAGGTTTGAATTTGTTCTTCAGTTCCTTGAGCTTAAGAAATGCTGAGCGAGTTCGACCCTTTTGGTTTTCTGACTCCAACTCCTTACACATTTCATTGTAATATTTTACTTTGTCATCCCGCGCTGCCTTTTGAAATCTTCTGTTCAGCTCTTTAGTATCTTGAATTCTTCCTTGTGCTTTGGCTTCTCTGCGCTCCAGTGCAATGTTCAGAGTTTCTTCTGACATCCATTTTGGTCTTTTCTTCCTCTTCTGTCTTTGTAAAGAATGTTTGCACTCTTCTTGAATGATACCTTTGATATCCTCCCACAGCTCATGTGGTCTTTGCTCATTTGTGTTCAAGGCCTCAAACCTGTTCTTGAGATGGCATGGGGCATTTTGAATCAGATGATCATATGATATACTACTCCGGAGATGAAAAGGTGAGGACAAATGGGGTTGCTTTCATAGTTAGAAAAGCCATTTCTAGATCCATCTTGAAGTACAATATTGGGAGTATAGAGCTCAAAAATGCTCCTATGCTCACAGCAGGTGTGTTTAAACTTTGCAACTACACTAGGCCCTTGGAGCTCTTTATCATAAAAAGTTAGTTAGGACTTCTTAAATATCTTAATCCACAAAGTAAAAATAACTCCTAGATGCAAGACATACCTTTTTCTGCTTGTAAAATTTTTTTCCTGGTGTCATCTCGCACACACACATTGTACACAAAAATGCTGTTAACTATTGATGAGTTTCCCCCCTTAAAACCATTCAGAAATAGAATTGAGACAAAGAGAGAATATTAAGGGTTTCTTTATATTTGGTTTTTTGAGGGTAAGTTTACAAATTACATTGGTTTTCATTCAGTTATTCATACATACTTTGCTAGTACTATAAATTCAACAGTCTGGTGGTTTTTTGTTTTTATAAAAAATCCTTGGCATTTAACTATCTTTTCAATGAAACACTAATTAGGCAGGTTTGGATTATAAACGTATTTACATGCTGAATACAAATTAAATTTAATAAGAAAAAACACCATAGTTATATATCCGTTTCCTAGCTGAGTCATTTTGCATTCCCACCTGCTTCTGCCTCATTTTTCCTTGCTGTTTGTACACTCTTTTCTTCCTTGCTTTCAAATCAACCTTCTGCTCTGGTTTTACCCATTTCGATTTCTACTGGTTTCTCTTCAGCAGGCGTAGAGAAAATTTTTGCACTGGGGTCATGTGGAAGCATGGTCTTTGGCTCTTTCTTTCTTAGTTTCTGTTCATCTTTTCACTGGCTGCTTTGTATTTTGCCCCTGTGTTGCATCTTATTATATGGTGATGCAAGTTTGGTGACTGAGTGTGAGGATTTTTATATAGACTTGGTCCTCCAAAGCTTCCTTGGAAAATCTTTATGAGATTTAAGACAAAATGAGGTCCCATTTCAACAAGAGCAGCATCTTCTATAATCTGAAAGTTCCAAAACCATCTCCTATTATCTAGAATGGTGAAAGTTAACACCTGGTCCACAAATGGCTGACTTTTGGGATGAAACTGTGGTGTACAAAAGATCTGAATTAAACAATTCTTTTAACAAAGCAAGACGTGGCAGTTCATCAAATGCAGGATCAAAAGACAAAAGGGGCCAAGAACCTTTCAGTTTCCGGTCATCTTCAGTTCAGCTAGGGTTCGAATATTTTGAACAAGGAATTTGGCAGATGGCCCATGAGGTGAATGTGAAAGCCACATATAAAGATCCTGTTCCTTCTTGGCCTCAAAATAGATCCGTTTATTGCAGTTTTTCGTTTCACAGACCTCATTAATCACAATTAACTTGTTTTTATGCTCCTTTCTGGTATCTGCTTTAGAATGAGGCAATTAACATTCTTAAGTCTTGCATTAAGTGTCTTGTCCTGAGATTTATTCCTCTGGAAGAAAAGGTGAGAATTTGTTCCTTACTCTTCCACATCCCCTTGCAAACGGGGCCTGGGATACGGTCTCTATCCTCCTCTTGGGCTGTGTCGTTGAGCTTAGCCGGCGATCCCACCTCTCTTGTGTCTCTTTTCGGTCTCTGGGTCTTGGTCGCTAAGTCTCCAGCTGGTTCGTCTTGGTGGCCGCCATCTTGCC